CCTTTTTGCCATATTATAAAGGGATACAGCAGGTCCTTGAATAACATTGTTTTGTTTATTGTTGCATTATAATATTGATGAGAAAAAACAGTTACTGCCCCCGGGGCCATGGTTTGTGTGGAGTTTGCACGTTTTCCCCACGTCTGTGTGGGTTTTCTCCGGGGGCTCCGGTTTCCTCCCACATCCCAAAGATGTGCACGTGAGGGGAATTGGCGCGTCTCAATTGTCCCCGTCAGAGTGAGTAGGTATGAGTGAGTGGCCCTGTGATGGAAGGGCATCCTGCCCAGGGTGGGTGGATTCCCGCCTGGCACCTGAGCTGCCTGGAGAGGCTCCAGCCAACCACAACCCTGAGCTGGAATAAGTGGGTTAGAAAATCAGTGTCTTACTTGTTTTTATTCATCTTTCTTAAATGTATGTATAGTTCACATTTATTTCAATGTTTTAGTATTAGACGTGTTTTGGGTCTTTATTTTGAAGTGTGGTGATGTTTTGTGACCAGGAATATACCATAGGAGTTTAGCTCTTGTTTATACCAATCAGCCTGTGGTAACATTGGCTAATACGTCATTTAACTTAAAGTCAGTTTCCAAGGAACCTATTGACAACATTAACTGAGGACTTAGTGCATTTTTATTATGCGTGTTTATTAAAGAGAGATCTTTACATAGATCTGCTTACATATCTCTGACTAAGAATCAGCATAGATGCAAACTTATTTTTGGATTACGTTGATGTTACCATTATTTTGAGAGTTGTAGTTAGAAAACCATCAAGAGCTTTAAAAATATATGGAAAATCATTGGGCACCCTATCTATGTGCTTATAGTTGTGTTTTTGTAATTATGTAAGGCATTAATCTTGACTTTTTTGTTTCCTTTTAGATTTTGATGCATACGAAAGACATGGTACAGAAGGTAATGCTGAGCATTTTCATCATCATATGACAACTCTTAAACATCACACCTAGTCACATTTTTGTATTCAAGGAAAACTGCAACCCAGACAGACTGGAAATGGCTTCTTAGAATGTCTAGTTTACGTTTATAAGCCCTCTTAATGGATTATAGCTTTTTTCTTTTACTAACACTGATATGATGTAGCCGCTGCTTGAAGCCTATATATGAGTGTTTCAAGCAAATTAGTAACAGTGCTAATTAGAGTTTACTCCCAGGCCTTTATACTTTATGTGCTCCAGTGTTGTTTGCTGTGATTGATTTTTTTTGGCACTCTTCATATTCTACTAAATACTGTTGGAGACTGTTAAGAATTTAATATGGATTTGTGCCTCTGAATTTTAAAAACCCATTATGTTTCTGCTTCATAAATTGCCATGACCACAAAGCTTTTGGTACAGTGGGTAAATATAGATCCCCTTTCCTAGTCTTTTATCTTCTTTTATATAATTCAGTTCCACATTTTGTTTCAGTTGAAACTAGACACTTCCCCTGCCACTCTAATATCTGCTTAAAAAAATTAGGGAGGTATTTTTTTTAATGTGACAGTGTTCATCTTTCTCTTTTATTGGGGCTTAATCTTCAATTGTACACTCCTGACAATATGGATAAGAATAAATATAACTTTTTGAAAAATCAGTAGAATCTGTAATTTCTGTATTATGGAAAATCTTGAGTTTCATTGTGCCTAATGGTCACCATGTTTTTTTTTTAAAGATTTTATTGGGGAATTCGGGGAAGGGGAACACTGAAGTTGCTGTTGTTTTGTTCTTCAGTCTAGTTATGGAGGACGTGGCTTCACTGGCCCAAGTTGGCACCATCATTGCGCTCTTCCCAGCTGAGGCAGATCAGTCGCCGGCCTCTGGACGGCCGCTCACGCTGGCTGCCGGCTACACATGGTAGCCCATGGCAACCCACTGCAACAGGGGCTGCAGCCTACGCCGTCACCGGCGACCCACAGCAGCCCAGCTCCAGGTTGAGCTGTTGTTCAGCATCTTAGCTATAGAGGGCAGTGTCACTGGCCCTCATATGTGGGATCCGAACCGGGGCCCTCTGGTGTGCCAAGCCAGTTCTTAACCAACGCGCCACTCGGCCAGCCCTGGTCACCATGTTTTAGTTGTTAATTTTTATAATTTTTGCTTTTCCTTAGATGAATCTTGAAGTTATTTATGGAGATACAGATTCAATTATGATAAACACCAATAGCACCAATCTGGAAGAAGTATTTAAATTGGGAAACAAGGTGAGATAATTTGATAAAATTATCTGTTTCATCAACTTTGAATTATTTTAACATGAAATTTCATAAATTCATACATTGTGTGCTTCTGAAAATAATAAACTGAGTGCCTTCAATTCTTCATCCTCTTTTATTTTCTTAGCCTCTTTTCCAATAGTTTGTTTTGAGGGTAAAATTAGAGGGGAAATTGTTTTTTCCTTAAATGATAGATATGTTTTGCCTCTGAGAATGGTCTAAATGTGGTAAGTTTAAGATGTGATCACATTAGTACTTGTCACATTGTCATTCATAAGGAGAAATGTGTCTGTAGAAGTGTTCAGATGCATTTCATACCTTGATAGACAGAGAAATACCTACCTACATACATATACACACATCTGTAATTTTTGCAGGAGTACTTAAAATATATTTGAAAAGGTAAGGGGACATTTAAAAATAATCATTTGTAGCCCCCTAATTGCAGTTCACAATTAGTGTTTCTTGAGCACTTGCGATGTTAAGATATTGTCCTAATAAACTAAAACTAAAGTATCATCTTACAAACTAACACTTTCCTACCTTTCCCCCCCGAAATGTGAAATTTGAACTATAACCTTCATTTGAGAGCAAGCCTAGCATATTGTACTCATATTGAATCTTGAAAAACTGTGTATTTTTCCTGGAGGCCATGGCCTATGCCATGACCCTGTCAATAAAGAGCAGGTGACTGTTCATTCATTTGTTCAGCATATATTTATTTGCTTAGATTTAGGGTGCTGTGGGAGGTACAGGGAAATCGTAGACATTATATTAATAAAGTTTTACTTATTTCTGGCCACATATCTACTCGTTGGAGTTTGTAATCTCTAATTCAGTAGTTTGAAGGTACGAACATATGCATTTAGTTTCTAGATTTAAAACAGACTATTTCATAGTTTTCATAATTCCTGGGGCAGACCCTGCCAAACCTATCCTTTGGTTGAGTGGGATGATATATTATTGTCTTTATTTTTTAATGTGTTTTTGTCCCTATGCTTTTTCAATGTTCTTGCATCAGATCCAACATAATGTCATATTCCATATATGCTTAGTAAATGCATTCTAATCTTGTGTGACTTCAAGTTCTGTTTAAGTCTTGGGAATTTGTAGCATGTTCATCTTCTCCCTATTAGATATTGAGAAGCTGATATTAATGGTTGATATTTTCACAGGTAAAAAGTGAAGTAAATAAGTTGTACAAACTGCTTGAAATAGACATTGATGGAATTTTCAAGTCTCTGCTACTGCTGAAGAAGAAGAAATACGCTGCTCTGGTTGTGGAGCCAACATCAGATGGGAATTACGTCACCAAACAGGAGCTGAAAGGATTAGATATAGTTAGAAGGGATTGGTGTGATCTTGCTAAAGACACTGGAAAGTGAGTTCAGCTTTCGTTTTTGATTTTGTTGTTTGTCTTTCAAAAAAAATTGAAGTGTTAATCATGTAGACAACACCTGTGATTCTGCCAAGCACAAGGACACAACTACTTTTTTGTTATTGTTATTATTGCATATTAACAATTCTTATTTGGAATGGAGTTTTATAGTTAGACTAAAAGTTAGAGAAAGCCAGACTCGCTCAATAAGAGATGCTTGCTGTAAGATACCTCTCACAAATTTTAACTCATGGTGAGGGATTCACATTTTGATCCTTACAGAGTTGGTTTTCTTTATGTGATTTGTTTTTCTTTTGTTTTGCTTTAATGTTTCTATTAGAAAATGCCTTGTGTTATGTTCCTGAATCATCCAAGAGCCTCTTTAGGAATGTAATTGTTAAGGTGACCCGTTTTGTGGCTTAAAATGTTCTGGGATTCAGACTAGGCCATGGAGTGAGACTTTGTTCCCATCCATATCAATTGTGTGTAAAGATCATCACTAATCTCAGGTTAATTTAAAAGGTAATTCTCAAATAGCATATATACCTCAGAAATCATAAATGTCATGAGTGACCCCCTAACTTTGCACCTGAGACTGAAGATTGTATTAAGACCTGTTTGGTTTTTTTAGGGTCATATTAATTTATAAAGCATCCATTTAAAAAAGGAATTTTTAGGTGCTTTATTTACCATCTTTCCAGATATTCCTGTTTTGTGAACTTGAGCAGTTCTGAAAGTAGAAGAATTTTTTCTTTAAAGCAAAATTTTAAATTAATTTTAATACTGCTGAATACCAGCATTTTTTACTTGTTTTCCAGTCTTCCTCTTGCTTTCAAGTCAGGAGATTGAGCAATTGTTGCTTCTGCAAACTACTCTTGATTAGGCAAAGTTGATCATCCGAGTATAGGTCACTGTTAGCCTTTTATGAAATGTAGTTTGAAATGCTTCATTGCCCCCAAATGTACCCAAAGACGAAACTACTTTGTATAGACTGTCGATTAGAGTGTTCTCTTCAGCTTTGTGTTTTCTAAGAAAAGATGCATCATAATAGAAGTAAATTTCTGTGAGTTAGAAATGTATTAGTAATTAAAGCTATACAAATGTTTTTGTCAGGGTTCTTTTTCTGACAAATTATAATGCAGCTGTCAAATCCTCGCTCTGCATTTTCTCAGAGATGGATAAAATATTGGCTTCCTTTTCTTTTTCTTTTTTTCCTTTATGTGGGGGATCGGGTGGAATAACATAGGTTGGAGAACACTGAGCAATATAATGAAGGTGAAGAAAGAAATGTTTAAAATCTTCGGGGTTTTTTAAAATTTGCATAAAGGACTTTTCAGTTTCTACTACCTAGCTGATGGTCGTCTCAGGTGGGGATGATATCTTGATGACATCAGAGATAATATCTTGGTGTTTTATGAGAAAAGTGAAATATTTGCCTTCTAACATTTTAACTTATGGGTAGAATATAACTGCTTTTGAATTTTGTAGTTGCATAAAAATATGATGGAACACATACCTTTCTGTGTGTTTTGTATGAAGCTTTAGATGCTGCATAAAAAAATATCTGTATGTCTAAGGACAAACCTGACATTCCAAGGTTGGTAAACCTTTGGTAGAGTTAATGTTAAAAAACAAATAGTAATGGCCTTTTAGACATAAACCCTTGTGTTAGCTTTTAGTATGGCTCTTGTCCACATGTTAATCTAATAGCATTTATCTTCCTTTTCTCTCCCTTATTAATAAAGCATGATATTGAAAAAAATCAATCCCTCTCTTATTTTGCAGCTTTGTCATTGGCCAGATTCTCTCTAATCAAAGCCGGGACACTATAGTGGAAAATATTCAGAAGAGGCTAATAGAAATTGGAGAAAATGTGCTAAATGGCAGTGTCCCAGTGAGCCAGTTTGAAATTAACAAGGTAAATGTAGCATTTATTGCTGAGCCCAGCTGCTGCCATGTGTTTTTATCCTCCTTCAGATAGTTGAAGAACCACCTCATCCTTGCAATTGAAATAAGTTCTAGCTGGTGATGAAAGCTGCTTAACAGCTATCTCACAGACTGGGCATTAGCATACCACTCTTCCTCTTCCAGCCACTGGTACTGCATGTCTGCCACACGGCCTTCTCGTTCCATTCGTTACTTTATTCTGTGGAAGCCTTATTTCCGGAGGGTCTGTGGAGTGATACACTTGATGTTTCAGGGACTAGAGAATACTACCTTCATAGTGCTCCTAAGTTATAGTTGTATAGTTGTTTGGGGGGCAGGCCTATAAGCTTAGAGTGAAAGAGAACTGGGGTGGGGGAGGGAGGAGGGGTGGGGAGGTCTAACTTCACAAAAGGTGATCTTTAGAGGTACTGTAATCAGGTGGCTTTTTGGGGCATAGTTATTTAGAATTAAGATGCTAGTAGCTCTTTCTGTATATTCAAAACACTTGTGTGATTTTTTTTCTTAATTACATAAGTTACACTTTATGGGCAATCTTAGTTGTTGAAAATAGGGAATATTTTTTCTTTCCTAATTTGAAAAAACAAAATCTTGGTTTCCAAAATGCTGTGTAACACAAGATGTTAGGTTATAGATTTTTTTTTTCAGTTTAAAAAGAGGAAGTACCCTTACATATTTGGAAGCTAATTTTGCAAATACCGTTTTACCAGTTTTATGATAAATAGATTTCGTTGTCAAAGCTTATAAAAAAAGTTTTAATGAAAAAGAATCTAGTGATGACATTAAATGGAAATTTTAGAATTAAAACTCATAATACCTCTGTGCTAAAAGTAATGCTTGCCATTTTTGCACAATTTACTCTTGAAAACATATTTTTACATTGCAGCAATTATAATATACATAATTTTGAAATCTATTTTCATTTAATAGAAACAGATTTTTCCATATTTCTATATTACCTTGAAAACCATCATGTGAATCAATGTGTTAATCTTACATTTCACTGATACATCTTTATTTAAAATTCTTATTTGATTATTTAAATTATTTATTTTTGCTATTTTAAATAACTATATTAAACATCTTTGTCCATTTATCTTTTTGATTTTGGTTTAGGTTCCTTGAAGTGAAATATTTGAATCAAAAGATATGAATGTCTGTATGGCTTTTGCCAAATTGCTTTGCAAAAGGGTGATACCAATTTATAACAACAAAATGTGTGCCAATTTCACCACAGACTTGTTGGGATTGGTGATCATATCATTGGTGATATTTAAATAAAACATTGCTACTATAATGGATATGCAACAGCATTTCACTGTTGGATTTAATTTGCATTTCTTTGATTCCTAGAGAAAATGAGTATTTTCCATGTATATTCTTATGATTTGTATTTATTCTGAGGTAAGTCACTTGTTTCCTACACCTTGACCATGATGTCTTTGAAGTCACACAAGAAGACATTTATCTATATACAAAAAGTACAAAATATAGAAATATTATAAGAGAATATGTTCCTTGGCACTAGCTCTTCACTAGAAGTGATGCAGTGTACACCTGTTGGCATGGAGTCACTTGTGACATCTAGAAAATGGTTTCCATTCAGATTTTGTTTTGTCTCTTTCTCAGAAACTTCTATGAGTAAGAGTTATGAGTTCAGTCTTCCTTTGATCAATTTTAGCATCTATTCTGCACATTGTATCCCTGATATTGCCTACCTTGTTAGAAGTGTGGATCCCCTATCGCAAGAGGCTCCACAAGTGTGGAATGTGCAGTCTAAACATGAATACTTTATTGGAAAAATAACACTGAGCACATGGCCTCTAGGCTAGTGGGCCCACACCAACATCTTCTCATGTGAATGATGAGACAATATTACTAGTATGCAAATAAACCTGGAGTCATAGACGACACACTGGCAATCTCCTAGTTCTGATGAATAGTCTACAGTTTTGTTATTTTAAAGTTTTTATGATTGAAAATTTTAACTAATACAAAATAGAGAGAATGGTATTATGTGTATCCATCACTCAGCTTCAATAATTATTATAGTGATATATTATTATTACTGATAACAATAATATTTAATAGTGTGATAGAGGCTGTGCATACATTTTTCTGTGACAGAACTGAAACTGTGACTTACTATCTTTATTGTCTCCGTTTCACTTGGCATAGTAACTGGCAAATAATAGTTGTTCAGTGAGCTTTAAAAGAATTTGTTTTTTTAAAACAATCCAATTGAAAAATAGGCAGAGGTCCTGAACAGACATTTTTTCAAAGAGGACAAACAGATGGCCAACAGGAATATGAAAAAATGCTCAACATCACTAATCATCAGAGAAATGCAAATTAAGACCACAGTGAGATATCACCTCACACCAGTTAGACTGGCTATCATCAATAAATCGACAAACAGGTGTTGTTAAAGATGCGGAGGAAAGGGAACCCTCGTGCACTGTTGGTGGGATTGCAAATTGGTGCAGCCACTATGGAAAACAGTTGGAGGTTCCTCAAAAAATTAAAAATAGAGCTATCTTATGGCCCTACAATTCCACTCCTGGGCATTTATCCAAAGAAATCCAAAACACTAATTCAAAAGATATATGTACTCCTATGTTCATTGCAGCACTATTTACAACAGCCAAGATATGGAAGCAACCCAGTTGCCCACCAATAGACGATTGGATAAAGAAATTGTGGTACATACATACAATGGAATATTACTCGACCATAAAAAAGAATGAAATCTTACAATTTGCTAAGTGAAATAAGTCAGACTGAGAAAGACAAATACCATATAATTTCATATGTGGAATCTAAAGAACAAAATAAATGAACAAACTAATCAGAAACAGATTCATAGATACACAGAACAAACTGGTGGGTTACCAAATGAGAAGGGGTTGGGGTGCTGGGTGAAAAAGGTATAGGGATTAAGAAGTGCAAATTGGTACTTACAAAATAATCATGGGGATATGAATTACTGTATAGGGAATATAGTCAATAATATTGTAATAACTGTATAGTGCCAGGTGGGTACTACTCGTAGACTTATTGGGGGGATCATGTCATAAATTATATAAATGTCTAAGCACTTTGCTGTATACCCAAAACTAATATAATATTGAATGTCAACTATAATTGAAAAATTAAAAAATAAAAATTTGTTTAATCATCTGTTCATCAAACATGGAGGACCTCTTATGTGCACAGTGCTAGATTTCTGGGATATAAAGTTGAATAAGCAAAACATGGTCCATATTTTTATGTATAGTATTTTTATATATAGGATACATATAGCATATATTTCCATATACTATAAATATATATATGGAGTTGAAAATGGGAGGTTAGCCTAGGGTGGAAGGGTGAAGTGGTGAGATTTACCTTTGTAGTTTTAGCCCTTGTTGCCAAAAGCAAATGATTTTCTGAACTACGGCAGTCTTACCTTAAATATATTTCATAAAGTAACACAAAATACTTGAGAGCTGATTTTTATAGCCCTGGCTAACTTGAGCCTAAACCACCAGGAAGCCTTTTTTTCCCTAAAATCAAGCCTTCTAAAACTAGCTTGTAAAACCTCCAAAATAGCCACAATCTAATAATTGGAAAGTATGTCAGATGAAATTCAGAATTTCTTAACATTGCACTGAAGTATAGTCAATTGAAGAAGATAATGGTTTTCTTATGTAGAGTTATATTGATTAAGATTTCTGTGCAGTATTACCCAACCAAGTCAATCAGGATTTTGCATAATTCGGGTTTGAGGAGATTCAAATACTTGGAGAGTTTCTTAGGCGCTCTCCTACACTGAGTAATTTAGAAAGTGTACATAACGTGGGTTGTGCAGAGGCGTTTGAGGACCTGCTTTATTCAACTATAGCAGTTCTCAAATTTCCTAGCCTCAGGACTCCTTCACACTCTGAAAATAATTGAGGTCTCCAAGAGCTTTTGTTTATGTGGTTTACATTGATATTTACTGTGTTAGAAATTAAAAGTAAAAATTTTAATGCATTTATTAATTTAAAGTAGCAATAATTCTATTACATGAGTACAAAAATAACATTTTTCTATGGAAAATAACTATGTATTTTAAAACAAAGAAAAATTAGCTAGAGGAGCGACCTCATTTTACAATTTTGCAGAACTCTTTAATGTCCAATTTAAAAGATGTCTTTTAAATATCTGCTTGTGCATCCAACCTGTTATGATGTGTAGTTTTGGTTGAATATAGGAAGAAAATCCAGTTTCACACAAATATGTAGTTGGAAAAAGGAGAAGTACTTCAGTAATTTTTTTCAGATAATTGTGCATATTCTTTGATTCCACACCAAAATTCTCTAAGTGGTATTTTCTTAAAGGTTATTTGTAATGTGAAATCAGAAACCATGTCAGTGAAATTTGCATACTCTCTTACATTAAA